GGACTGCATGACAATCGTGCGCCGGGAAGATGAAGACGAGATTGAGTGGTGGTGGGCACGGCTGAATGACAAGGAGGGCTACGTTCCCCGCAACCTCCTAGGGGTAAGGCCTTGGCATTTCCAGAGTCAAAAAACCCCACCGCACCATGTGCAGTATCCACAGCATTACCTCATGCATCTAGCTTAGGTGCAATTCCAAAAGTCAAGAGGAAGGAGTTGACAGTCTCCATGTATTCATTTGGGGAGTTGAACACCTCTGCAGAGTGGGTTTACACCCTCTGTTTAGATGGCTAACAGATTATATTAATGAGTAACATGTATCACTATCCCACTATACATAGCAAGTTCTAATGGTGACCTTGTCTCACCATCGTAGAGACATCAAAATCCACAACTGTTATCTGGATGTGACGTGCATAAGGTTTTGTTGAGCATGTGAACAGAACTGGGTCTCCCTGCTTTTAGAAAGTGAGACACTGGCACAAGGGGCCTTAAGAAGCATGAGTCACAAGTCCTTCCCTGTCCAGGTGTACATAGGGCCCCTTGGGATCTGAAATGGTTTCACAGAGTGTTTTACGACAAACAGTGCAAAATTCTATGTTGTGTGTGTTGTGTTTTTTTTTTTTCCCTAGTGTTGAAAAAGAGATCACATTGCTAAATAATGGCAAATCTTTGTGTTTTCCTGTGCTCTTTGACATATGGTTAAATATTACTTAGAGGCTTTAAATGACTGGCATCTCCTTTCCTCATCACACTCTGTACTACCTCTTATTTAAAATAACTGTGTACAAGTAAGAGATACTTTTCAATTTTGTCCCCATATTTCTTCTTATGGCTGAGATGCTAGAAAACTATAGCAGATGGACACATGTATAAACATTCCATTAAGCTTTTTTCTACATGTCCAGTTGTGCTGCTGCTGGAGATAAGAGGTTCTGTCAGTACTAAAGATTAACCACTGTGAATTTTAGCTGATTAATGTATGATGCTTCAAAGAGGCTGAACCTTCTTCCTCATGCAGATAATTCTTACTCTTAAACTGGTTAGATTTTGCAGAGTGACTTTAATCAGTTTTCACTTCTGTATCACTTTCAGGTCAGGCCTACTCATAATGTCCTGCAAAATTCTCCCTAACATAGTACTCAGCATTTTCCTCCAAATGTAAACATTTCTAAATTGAAAGCAGCTATCAGCCCTGTATAAGAAGATCAGAAGGAGCAGCTTTTTTTTTCCAGGGTGAATTGTGCACATTCTGCTACTTCATAAGCTTGTGCACTCAGCCTGAGCATAGGTGTGTAAGAACCAGAGGAGCATCTGTGCTTCTGTCATAAAAAGCACAAGGCCACACAGCTTAAACTGGGGATCACAACTCATCCTTCTAAGCACAACACAATCCAAACAGAACCTTTGGGGGGAAACCACCAAGCCCAGTATGAACTGTTCCTCTCCTGTCTGTTCAGTCAATCTAGTCTTGCTATTGAAGTATTCTGTGGTTATTCTCAAAAGCAATTACTGGACTCTTAATATAGCAGCTGAAATCTAGGCTACAGTGTTCAGCACAGGGGAAAGTATTTGGTAGTTTAATATATTCTCATATTAAGTTGTATTTTTATCCCAGCTGCTTTATCCTTTTGTAGTTAGGTGTACTAAATAAAAACAAAGATTAAATTGTCTGCATCAGTACTTCACCTCTCTTGGTGACTCACTACCTCCCTAAGCTGTGTGAGAGCTCTAAAACTGAATACAAATAAGATAATACTGTCAAAATGCTGGCTTTGTAATACCAAATGAAAGCTTTTGAGTGCTGTCAGGTGTTATGCTACTCTGACTGATTTAATTTCTGCTAGTGGTGAGACCATAGCAGGATGGGGCAAGAGTTGTGGGTGAAGTCGTTGCTCTTTTCTTAATCAGTAGCTGACTATGAGAAAGAAGAGAGCCAGAGTCTGGTTGAAGAAGAGGGTATCTGTAAGAACTTAAGCTGAAAAAGCCCAGGATGTAACGTAGGCATGCACTGCTGTTCAGAGCATGGAGGATTCATCTTTCCTAATTGTATGAAGTGTATCCTTCTATTTTTATATGCTAGTAGCCATGCTTTGCAGACCAGTAGTTATTCCCAAAGGCCTCTACAAGTGGCAGCTAACAGCTTCCTCAGCACCTTGGCACTGCTGCGTGCTGTGTTGAGCTGTGTCCCATCGATTGTCACCCTGCAGCTGAGACAGTCTCTGTACCTCTGCACAGCCAGAATGTGAGAACAGCACATAGCTCAAAGGCTGCAGGATGGGAGCTACTGACTTACTGCTGGGTGGTTAAATTAACTGTACTGGCCACCCACTAGCCACTAACTAAAGCACAGCTCCTACAGTTCCACGGTCCTGATGCAGCTGTATGTTTCCAGCTTGCTTAAAGCTGTAGATGTGTAAAGGCTGATAGGCATTGAGAGAGCAAGCAAACGAGACTTTAATACCTCTCTATTTCCACTTATACGACAGGGAAAAAAATCCCATAGTTGACTGAACACAACAGTATTGCTTTACAAAGCCATGAGCTTTTCCTAGCCCACCCACCTTGGTAGAGCTGAAGGTACTGAATTATGTGCTGCTCAGTACCTTCCTTTTGTACTGACATGGTTAATACTTTTTAGAATGCTAAATTTGTATTTGTTAGTGCTCTGGGTGTTTGTTTAAAACTATGCTTTTGCTACTAGAAATTACATTAGATTTATAGCACCTAAAAGAGGTTTTTAGTTCCTTTTTTTTTTCCCTTAAAAAACATAACCTTTTACAGCACTAAAATCCTAAATCTTTTCTGTTTTACCCGTAGCTGTATCCAAGGATTAAACCTAGACAAAGAAGCTTGGCGTGAAATAGTACAGAAGCCAGATTCTTGAAGTACTAAACATGGATGACTTACAAAAAAAAAAATCATTGTGTTGGTTCCAGTATCATGAGACTTATTTCAATGACAATTTGAACGCTATGAAGAATGTGCTTTGAAAACAAATGAAGGATTGATGCATTAGCAAATGGATGAGGGCATTCTACAAGATGAAATAATGATTACAAGCAAATGAAATTCTGCTGCCTTTGTTCTGAGCAAGCCATTGTGTTCAAGTAACCACTCTGATTTCTTCAAACATGGCAGGAAAGAATTTTACATTTTTCTGCATTAAATACAAGGAGCTTTTCAATTAACCATTGAAGGAATCATGAAATGGACAACTTGTCTGTGTTAAAATTTATACTGAGGGTTTTTTTCCAGATGTGAAAAAATTAAAGTACCCAAATGCTTATTGCTGGAAGCAGAACATTTGTTAAAGAAGCTAAACTGAAGTGCATCTGAACAAGGACAGCCACGTGACCAATCCATTAAGCAATAACTTTTAAAAATCTGTAGCATCTTAGGAATTCCATGTATTCAAAGTATTATGTGCTGTAACAGACAACGTAGCTTTAGATTCCTCTTTTTACAAAGAGCCTCATGTATTTATTGTATTTTGTACTTTGGAAACTAAGTGTAGGAACTTTCTGTAGTCCTTGACAACTTACTTGTTTTTACTTGACTGTGATACCATTAAACTTTTGTCTCAACTTCAGTTTTAACTCTTGAGTATTTTAGTGTCAAGTTTTTACTAGAACAGCTGAAAATGTTACTACTAAGACACTTTTGTTCTACATTACCCTAGCATTCAACTACTTTCTGCATTAAATTGAAGTCCTTGTCCTCTATTTGTTCAATACAACCTTTCTGCATTTAAAATTAAGATGAATTTGTAGTTGCATATAAACCTTATTAACCTTAAAAGCTAAGGGACATCTTAAGAAAAAAAACTTGGTACAAGTATTTTCCGAATACAGGCTTTACCATTGAACTGTCCTTCATATCTATGTATTTAGGAGTAATAATTTGATAATGACTATGCTTTCTCAGAGAGGATCAAAACTTTCCTCAGGTATTTATGAAGTCACCCACCCTTCAGGCTTATATTTTCATACTTGGTAAGTCTGTACTGTGCTCTGAAAAGGTGTCCATACATAGAAGAAATTATTTGTGGGAAACCCTCAAGTGGGCAAAGTCAGCTGGAGTGAAAACTTAGAAGCAGCAATCTGCTTGTTCACGGCCTTAGAATTTTATTGGGCTGGGTATGGGATACATACAACTACCTTTCTTGGAAACCTTTTGTTTTTTAGGCATTAATATTTTAAGTGTCAGACTGTCTAACATTATAGATGTGTGTCAGTTAATTGTCTGTCAGTGCCTAGTCAGCTCCAGAATGTTGTTTGCCCCTTTAAAAGGCAACCTCCTCTGTTCCTGACAGCAAAATCTCTGCATATGCTCTGTGATGAAGTATCTTTAAGGAAAAAATTGGCTTATTTGCAGAAGGAATAACAGTCCTGCAAACTTTATTTCTACTGTTTTTATTTATCTTCCTTTGAAATGCAAAAATATATTTAAATAAGGTGCAGAAAATTGAGGTTCCACCTGAGAGCACAGGCTTTCTCTTGGAAGAATCCGGTTGCCAATAGTGTCCTGCTGCAGGCACATCAATGGTCAGGGGGGCATGGCTTGTCCTTCAGCTTGGTCAAACATGTACCTGCTACTCATTCTTCAACAGAATAATGCTGGGGCTTGACAGAAAGCATATAAGGGACCCATATCTTACCTAAACACCTGTATTCAGGTATTCACCCTTTTTCTAGTTTCAGATACTCAGGATGGAGCGGAGCTGTTATCCATAAAGCCCTTAGTAAACCAGCCTGTCAAGCTGTAATGAGCTTTCTTCCAGAAGTCATGTAAAACGCCTTCAATACAAAGACATTAGGCAAAGCAGTAGTTTCAAAAGTTGCACTGAGGATTTATACTAAATTGGAGCTTTTGTACAGAGGATATATAATAGTAGATAAAGAATGCCAGACTCATAAAAATGAGGTTGTTGTAGTAGAAAGCTTTCCTTCTTATAACTGTGTGCAAAATTTGCCATGCGTAAGTTAAGGCACATTCACTTGTATGTTGGCTTGAGTTGCTTCATCTGATCTTGCTCTTTTTTGAGGTCTCTCAAGCTGATGTCAGTGACTCAAATGACTGTAAAGAACAGCCACTGTAACAAGAGAGGAAAATGGCCCAAGGTTAAATTTAGTAAAAATTCCTGTAGCAAGTATGCACACTTCCATTTTGAACATGAGGAGAAAGTCTATTGTTAGAAGAGTAATCATAGAATCTTTCATGAACAATTTAAATTTGTATCTCATGTAAGTCAGAAGAGTTTTGGGATGATTTGCACTTTTCACATAGATCCAGAAATAACTTATGTGCAAGTAACAAGCAAGTTGAACCCATGTAGGAGGGTAGTTTTCCCGTAACTTCATCCTTTCTACAGGGCCTATGTCGTGCAAGAAAGGAGGAGACATGGTCAATACCATGAGTCACTACTGCACCTGCTTTTCACCCTGTTGTTGACAGAAAAGGCAGGAAGAGGCCTCCATAATATCAGCCCAAATGGCTGCCAGAAGGGGCAAGTGGCATCAGGTTCAAGTGACCCAGCCTCTTGTTAGAGAATACCATGTGATGTAGGTACCTTTTAAAAAAGGGTAACCTTTCCTAAAGACAAGCTATATAAATTCAGCATTTATGTAAATATATATAACCAGCCAAAATCAGTCAGACTGGAGCAGAACAGGCTCTACAGTTAACCCCTTCCTCCTCTCCCCCCCCCAAAAGCAAACCCTTTACAAATGAACTTACATTAATGAGGTTCAATTCTATCGTTCCTGTTTTCTCAGTGTCCAGTTTTTTAAACATTTCTGTTGTAACAGAGAGATGACAGACAAGGATGACTACAGGAACTAATTGGAAAGCCTTCTCCTGCTTCACAATCAAAAAGGAATTTAGTCCCAGATTCTAAAATTTATGACAATACTCTACACCCCAAAACAGAAAGAACCACTCCAAAGTCTTTTCATGCTTATGTGCAAAAAAAGAGACCAAAAAACATCTTTAATGGTTCAGTCTGCAATATTAACACTATTTGTCAATACACAGGTGTTTAGACTGATTTTTGTTTCTAAATCAACATTCAGTTTACATGGAAGACTGTCTGGCTCCAGTTCAGCAGTCTGACCTAAAAAGAGGAGTGTGCAGACTGGGTTGTGAGATTTATAGGTCAGCTTTGAAGTCACTTTGGTTTCAGTACAAAGTTTTCTGAATTACTTATCCTGAACTTGAAAAGACAAAGCAACAGAGTCTGTCTAATTATGAAGCATGTACTCACTGAACAAGGTTTCCAGCCGAACCAAACACCGGACAAAGTTATCAAAGTCAATGATGAGGTCTTCATCAGCAAAACGAGCCACGATGATTTGGTGTAACTGACAGTTCAGTTTGAACCCTAAAAATGCAATGTCACAGATTTAAAAAAGAAGAGGAAGAAAATAAAAAATGCAAAAAGCTCCAACCAGCAGAAAAACCCAGCCTTGTATGCTGCCCCAAATTCAGTTAGCTACTTTTGGTTAAATACCTAGATTTTAAGAGTATTTACTCCATTTTGGAAACTCCCAACAACACCTTCTGTACTTTGGGTGATTTAGAGCTGTGACTATGACATGTGTTCTTCATGCTGCATGTGCTCCCACACCCGTAGTCCTGTTTCCCAGAAGACTTGGCCAATTACTCCAGAACATGGTCCCTCCCTAGGTGATGAGGTGGCTGCTAGACTCTGCCCGCTGAGACCTGAGATGAAGCAGTGGCTTTCTGTGGTACATGGGTCTCTATCTCCAAAGAGTAATAGGACAGAAAGAAATGCTTTGGGACAGAAGGAAATGGTGCCTCATCTTGAGTCGTGACAGGAGAGGAAAGCTCCCAAGAGCCCAAACACAACATTAAGATGACCCCAGAAGATCAGTAAGGTAATTTGGGACTGTATGGCTCTGTGGTACCCCCCACTCACTCACCATCGTAACTCAGATTTGTTTTTCAGCAGTTGCAGCATCAAACTGACTCCTTTTAAACACTCTTGTGAGCATCACCCCTTGGTCAAGCTGCTTCCATTCCCTAGGTCACAGTTTCCCAGTTCTACCAGTTTACGCCAAACCCACATAGGCCCAGAAAGACTCATATTAAAACAATAGCATGCTGTTAGGAGACCAGATTGTTGCAGTTATTTGTGCTTCTCCAAAAGCTGGCCACTACAGAAAATAACTGCAAACCTGTCACTCCTTTGAGATGCTTTTAGTGTGCCTGTATGGCAAGTCACTGCTACCCAAAGAGAAGAGCCCATGCTGAGCATCTAGATTAAATGGACACTTTTTCATGTCTGAGAACACAGGATTTTTCAGTTTACAAGTGATATACAGGAGACTAGTGAGCATCCATCAACTCAGCTTGAAACTGATGTAATCCTAAAAAGAGACAGAGCAATGCAGCTACCTGCTTTTTCCAGCGCTCTCCTCATCTCATACGAATTCATGGTACCCGAGCGATCCACATCGATTTCCCTGTATATTTTCTGCAGAACACAAAACCCAAAGTCAAAACTTGTCAATAATTCAGAGCATGCTCTGGCTATCCTCAGAAGTCAAACACTTTGAAATGGAGCCTGCATGTTACTTAGGAGCATGTGTAACGTTGGTCTCAAGGTTGAAGTATTTATCTCTGAGTTCATCTAAAAGTGGCTTTACAAAGTTGCCCTAAAGTAGCAGCCAGAGTGAATGAAGACTCTGGAGAACTCCTTGAATGCCTGTACTCCAAGGAGCAAAATCTGGAGGACTGAGGACATTGTGAGCTGCAGTGAAAGTCCCTGCTTTGGGAAGTGTGATGGTACACATTGTATGAGGCAAATCAGCCACCTCCACATTTGATTGCATGTTCTCCCCAAAAGGTTGCATGTTACCTGGTATTTCTGAATCTTTGTCCAGAGGGTGTGGAATTCCTTCAGTCCCAGTTTACCACTCCCATCATTCTTCTTTGAGTTAAGGGAATTTCTTTGAAGGGAAGGAAAAGGGGCTTCTCCTCCCTGTGCTGGCTTTACTTACATAAGCAGTTGTGACTTAATACTTAAAAAATCCAAACTGCAATTAAGAAAATTATGCAAGTCGTTGCTGAAGGAGAGTTGAATACACAATTTTTGTTCAAGACATCTTTTTAAATCAGTAAGATGATGGATCATTTAAACCATTATCAGTTCACAAGCTCTTTTCTGCTCCTCCTTTGGCAGCTCTCTCTCTTTCCAGTACACCTATAAACCAGCCAAGATGATGCCATTTTGGTCTGTGTATTTTTTTCAACACCTGCAGTTAAAGGATCATGAGTCCTACATCCGGACTATAAACAGGAAAAGCCACAACCAAGCCTGTTATTTGGAGAACTTAAGTTCTTGCACAAACATCTAACAAAAGGCATTGCTCCCAAAACCTGCTAAGGAGTCCCTATGGACTGCTGTATTTTACACCAAATTATAGCAGAGCATTGGTTTTTTTTCAGTAATGTTTCCCTTTTCTAACTATGCAATTGAACTGCCACTGCACAGAGAAGCAGAACACAACTATTCTTAGACTTGATCCTCCACCCTATGCTTCTGCCCTTGTGTACTCTGCTCCCTGTATGTTTCCCTTATTTTCTATTTGCTAAGTCCTCATGGCTTTACCATACCCTTACCAACTCCAGTCAGATAACAGAGCAGTGAAGTGCACCCAGATGTGCATGTTCAGGCTCTGCAGCCGAGGTTTTCCACACCATGCTGAGAGCCAGCTGCCTTTTCCCAGCTCTGACACCATCTTGTGCTCAGCTAAAACCAGAACACAAAATATCTGGGAAGACATCAAAGCAGATCACCTTGTCTGACAATGGATTTTGCCCACGGCCTGGGAGAACGCATGTCTCTCAGTCAGCAGTAATAGCAAGGGCTACCATTTTGATTCAGGGGAACCAGAGTAAAACCAGTTTCTCTCCCTCAGGAGTCATTAGTACATCAGTACAGACCCACTAGTGCAAGGGCAGCTCACTACTTCAGCACAGGAAGAAGAAGAATATCTAGGAACAGCCTTAAAGGATACATCTAACAGGTCAACCATTATTTTGCACGTCTCAATACTAAAGCCATCAGACTTAATATCTTGTCCTGTAAAGCAAGAGCAAAAGACAGGATTATCATTGCGTGTGGTACCGCAGCACCTCCCTAAATAGCTCACCAGCTTTATAGCCAGTGCATACATATCAGCCCTTGGCTGCTTCCTTTGCAACTGGCAAAGGGGCTTAGGATGAAAGGTAACTGATGATTCCTCAGCAGACAGCCCAGATAGCCTAGTCTGTAGATCTACAGCAGAACCAAGTGACAGTGATAAAGCCTTCCTGCCCTTATTGTCCACCCTTATCTTTGCAGGCAGACTTTTGTGAACAATGTGGACTTCTGACCTATGGAGGTCAGTGGTAGGTAGCTTCATGCAAAGGAAGAACGTCAAGTCAAGCTTGGTAACCAGCAACATACTATTGCTAACTGGCTGGTGCACACAGATACACAATACAGTCCTGGCTACCCAATTAAGATTTCACTTTGGAAATTAAAGAGACACTTAGTTCTCCAAGCACTTATTTCTTGAGCACTGTTTAATGGAAGGAAAATAATGCAAAGCCAAGCTCTGAATCATTTTGCAGAAAAAGAAGCCCATAGTTTCAAAGTCTCTCCTCCTTGGGAACACCCCAGACCATTGGTTGTCCTACTGCATGAATCCTGAGTGGTTCAATACCACACTAGCAGCAATACCTTCTCATGATTATTATCAAACATTAGTCAAATTTGTCCATCTTCCTGGTAGCCAGTTCCCAGTAGCAGATGCTGGGATAAAAGGATATGCAGCCTGCCAAAGCCGACGTGCTGTGAAACACACCTTCAGTGCAGGCAGAGCCCCAGCGTTCCTGCAGCCCCCTGAAGAAGCAGGGACAGCACATGGTCGTGGCCATACAGAGAGCCAAACTGTGGCAGGTCTGACTGCCCAGGTCAGTGGTGTGCTCTGTGCTCTCACACCCACACTGGAAACCTGCTGGTGGCCAACTGAAGCCACAGCTGGAGGAAGGTACTTACGTTTAGCCATGATTTTATTCAAGATGTTCCGCAGTTCAAAGGCAGAGATCTCTGCATCCTGTGGAAAAGAGGAAAACAAGTTTTTTCACAGTGAGCTGCAGACACCACCTCATAAGCAGCTTCTGACTCCTTTGAGTGAGCTGACCAAGTTCAGACATCCCTTAGAGTTCATTTCCCTTGGATGGAAGCCCCAGTGGTAAGCTCTCCCCACCTCCCATGCCCAGGAGCACCACCAATTCCCGGGTGTCAGCACATGGGTCTGCCCGAGCCCTCGGGCAGGCAAGAGCAGCCTGGGGAGAAAGCAAAGCACAGCCCAGCCCTCACCATCTCCCAGAGGGACCCATGCCTGCACCAAACGCCCTGCCCAAAGGACAGAATTAAGGACCTGGGGAGATAAAAGCCGAGCCTGCAGTTCAAAGAGCACGAAGCTTGCTTGCCAGGAGCACTCACAAATCCCTTCTGTAAGCAGACAGTAACTACACACGTTTTTGCATGCACAATTATACACGTGCTTGAGATCTGACTCAGCACAGGAGTTAAACTCCATCCTGGGGGAGGAATCTCTTACCCACTCACCAGTGTTACCAGTGAGATGTTAACAGAAAAATACCTACACTTCCTGCCAGCTGTCCAAAAAGCTTTTTAAAGCTGGGTTCAATGTCATCTTCACTGATCTCGGTCTAAAAGAGAAACACAGAATACTGTAAGGAGGAAATTTTCTGCCTGAGAAGGACTTAATGCATTTCTCTTCCCCTAGTAAAACACAATTTAAATGGCAAAGTTAAGGTTCACAGTGCTTTTACTTTGATTTTAATCAGTTTTATTTGCAAGGACACCTCAAATTGCTAGTGTTGCAAACACTACAGGAATTAAGAACTTGTAATGGCTTTTATTAAAAAAAAAATAAATTACAAAGTCTTTATTTTATTAAAAAAACCCAAAACTACCAAATTTAAAATTGCACTGTTGCTGCTGCTACTACTACTGTTGCACTACCTGGCTTCACTTAAAGAAAAGAAAGCAACACCAAGTTCTCATCTTGCCAAAAGAGTTGTTTAAAAGAAAAAAAAAGATCACATGGAGGAGCAGATGTGTTAGGAGGCAAAACATGCCCAGCTCCAGCAAGACCAAACCTATGGTGGAAACATCACATGCAAAACAGCCCTATGGCTAAAGGGCTGCACTCCTTGGTTCCTGGAGAGCAAAAGGAATTCCTGTGGCTCCAGGTGAGTGAGTACCTGATCTCCTCTGCCTGGGAAGCCCAAGCTCACCCCTCTGGATAAAGGGCAACACATGTTTCCATTATTGCTTATGATGTTTCCATTTGCTGGACATTCTGCTTTGGATATTGAAAGACCTGTTTCCAAAGTGAGACAACAGATCTTCATAATGCCTATAGAAAAATGCTGCCCTGCACAGGGAACAGGCACTCCAGCCCCACTTATCTATGACACAATTATCTCCATTTAAAACATTTAATATATACCTCTTCAAGATTGGCCTCAATTTCATCATCTATAACCCTAGAAAGATAAAGAAATCAATATTAAAAAACAATCAAGCCACTGTTCTGATGCCCTTCTTTCAAGTTGCAGTTGAGAGACTCTTTAAACTGTGGGAATAGTGATGGGTGTTCAAAAGTTACTGGATCCATCAGCCATGGACACTGCACACCACCAGTGAAAGCAGCATTTTGCCAGCTATGGCAACAAGAGCCTCCAAACTCATTGCAAATTGTGCAATGTCCTGCAGAGCCACTAACAGGATTTGGGGTCAGACGTAACCCTTGGGGTCACTTAATGCCACTACAGACCTCAGGAAGCTGATGTCCCCCAGCCCGGGGCTGCTTCATCCTTCCAGGCCCGTGAGAGGGGCCAGAGATCACCCATGTGCCCAAACCACTCTTCCATGGCTGCAAAATAAGCTACGCACGTGGAGTTTGCATTTTTTTCAGAGAAGACTCGCAGGCAGAAATCTCCATTCTTGTTGGGTTCAAAGGTGGAGGGCACAATGATGTATTCTCCTGCAGGGAGCTTGTAGCGGTAAGGAGGTTGATAAAGGTGTTTGATTTCTCTCTTGCTTTGTTGGTCAGGAAAAAGTTTTTGCTCAGATGAATATTTGTCTGGCCAGAAAACTTAGGAAAAAAAAAAAAAAAAGATAAACAACCCCCCCCCAGTTTGTACATATTCGCATTATAGAAATTAAAAATATAATAGATATAACAATTAGCTATATAAGGGGAAAAAATAGCACCCCAAAAAAAAAAAAAGAGAAAAGATAAAGGGAGTGGGTACATCCCACCACACTACTTCTGAGCTGCAGCTGCAAATGTATCTCACAGATCATCTCAATAAATCATTTGGGTCACACTTATATTTTGCAGATGATAACAAGGGTGTGAAGACACTTGGCAAATTCTTCCACCAATCATTTATTTTTAAAACGCGATGGCTTACGACCCATGTCCCCCTGGTCCCCGGAGCTGCTGCCACCAGGGCACTGCAGCTCAGCTCTGCCCCCAAGCTCAGGCTGCCCTAAGGCAGAGAGCCTGCTTATGGAGGGGCTCCAAGAATAAAAGAAAAGTTAGGTGCTGTAAAAGCATATTTGGAGTGTAACATCTTCCAGAACAAACTCTTCTGTGCAGGGTCTTACAGGAGGGCTAGCTCAGCTCTAGAAGCAAACATCAGGAATGTGCAAGGTTCAGAAACCTCCCCCTTCCCGTCTGCCTGGATTTTTAAGAATGCAAAACCTGTCAGACCTGCTGGCATGGTGGGAGATAAAATTCCACCTTTTGGGAAAAAAAGAAAAGTCCTGGGACTGTAGCTACAGCCTTTTTTTTTTTTTTTTTTTTATGGAGATCAGGTTTATGGACCACTAGGGTGAGAGCTGAGCAGCTGACAGAATACTTCTCCAGCATTTGAAAGGTACATAAAAATCTAATTAGCTGGTAGCACCCTTCCTGATGCAAGCCTGTTTTACACAGAGTAGCTGCTTTGAGCATACTCTGGGGAGCTGTGAGGTGCCCCAGCTGCTTTGCACCCACTCTCATGGCTGCAGCAAGTCCATAATGACGTTACCCTGGCACTTTGCTCAGCCTCACTCATTCCTCTGAGGACCAACAGCTCAGAAGTGCCTGCAGCCCTACCTCCTATTGCATAGGCATCATCACTTTGCCACCCTTCTCTGATCCCCAACACGTGCTATTAGCTACCTGCTGGCAGAAATGGAGAGAAAGCAATGAAGAGGGTGCTTAGGAAAATGAAAATAAACACCTCCTTGGAATAATAGTTGAGTGTCAAACACAAACTCTGTGCAAACCTGAGAAAAGCAGCTGTGCTCTAGGTGTGCATGTATGGGTCTGGGCTGGGAGAATACCCATGGAAGAGAAGGTTTGGTGAGTTTCTATAGTACAGATGGCTCTCATCCCAACCCAAGATGCTCTAAAAACACAATGTGGGCTCAAGGCCCCTTCCAGAATAAAGGGCCTGTAGCTTCAGACTCTGCACAGTTAGTATTGCCCTGCAGTGAAGGAGGATGCTCTGAACGGTTTCTTCCTACAAGCCATTTAGTCCCAGCTCTGCACCTTGATCAACAGTGTGTGCTACATACCTCTGGGGGCACCTGCAAGGAGAAAAGGAGAGAGTTATTTGCTTGTTGAATGGCAACTCCAGGGCTGCTTCTTTTCACTGTTGGTTAGTGGGTACAACCACACTCTTAAAAAAAGACTCAACCCAAGGGGGAAGATGAACGTGGAGCCCACATCACCCAGCTCTGGCTCAGCTCCCAACTCCACCCTGAAGGCAGGTGAGGCTCACCTGGGGCAGCATGGGCACAGCCTGGCACAGATGCAGCCGGGATTGTCATGGTTTCCTGCCGACCTTCTACCCTGTGGCTCACTGTGGTATTTTTTATAGACTCAGTTTCTACTTTCTTTTTCACTCCCTGACCCCTCCACCACCAGGAGAGGGGGCAGGGGCCAAGCAAGACAATACTGCAGTTTTCCATTTCCTTACAGGTTTCAGGGGACCTAGTTTTGCTTTTTTTGCCTGGTGAGGCATTGGAACGGGCTGCCCTTGGAGGTGGTGGAGTCACCATCCCTGGAGAGGTTCAGAAAACATGTAGATGTGACAATTCACAACGTGGTTTAGTGGTCATGGTTGTGTTGGGTTGACGGTTGGACTTGATGATCTTAGAGTCTTTTCCAATATTAATGATTCTATGAGACCTTATTTGCCTATGGGGACCAGATTCTTTGACAAGCTTTTCCAAAGCTGGGACATTGAGAAAGCAAACAGTTGCACATACGGCCTGCAGTTACAGAGCAACCCACAGGCAGGACCTTTAGTCCTGTTTCCACTGCCAGTTAAGCACTGTTGCTTTGCAGCTCTGGACAAAGTGTCCTGCTTCAGGAGCTGCCATAGCCTTACCCCTCACACAGCAGAAGGAATTCTACAGGTGTTTTGGCTGTTTCTGCTGCTGGGTTTACACAAACTAGTGCAGGTGTCCCAGCCAGCATCACATCCCTACCACAGCTGCTCTCATTCTGTCACTTTTCACCACAGCCCAACAAATGAAGGTCAGACTGGATTTCTGTACTTTCAGTTTTTGCTTTTAAAATGCCTTTTATTTTTCTGCTTCTCATTTTGGAAGCAGCCTCTGTGGGTCATTTGGTCCAACCTCCTACTCAAAGCAAGGCCAATATCAATGTTAGATGAGGTTGCTCATGACGTTGTCAAGTTTAGGTCTGAATATCTCCAGAAATGCAGATCCCATTGTCTCTCTGGGTACCTGCCCCTGTGTATGACCACTCTTTTGAAGAAGGATAATTTTCTAAACATCTTGGTGGACTTTTCCTTGTTGCAGCTGGTGTCCAGCTCAACCTAGCTGAATTTTGGTAGAAAGTCCAGTCTGAGAATTGCACTACCACATTTCTAGAGTGGTGTTTTCCTTTTCCTCCCATGCACCTGTGCTGCCTAACTCACCTCATAGATTGCAAAGCCAATGGTATGCATGTCCTCTCCCATCTTCCTCTGCTTCCGCCGGTGCTTCTGAATCAGGCCAACAAGGAAAGTGCAGCCCTTCTCAGGATCATCAGGATCCTCATCTTCTTCCTCCAGCTTGATTAAATACTGTGGATTCATCCAGAAAGTGTCTGGGAAGTGGATTTATGCAAACTGCTCAGAGTTTTCTTTGAAAGCAACCGTGCTGATACATACATGTCAACTAGGACAGATGTGGCTCTGACTTCCAAATCAGCTGTGAGATGGAAACACTAACATTCCTCTCCCAGCCTATACAACCACAACTAGACCCTCATCAGAAAGCCATATTTTGCAAACACTTGAACTTTTTGGACATCAGTCCTTGATATCCCTGGTACATCCTCCTCCTCCTCCATAGGCCACCCCAAAGCAGCTCTCACAAGGAGCACTCAGAGGAAGTACAAGTGGATGAATATAGATTTTCTCCATCACAGTGGTGACCACACGCTCTTACTTGGGTAATTTCTGCAGCCTCCTGCAGTGGCCCCTCGCCTCCAGTTCCCATCCAGCTTCAGCAGGCTCCACTTCTTGTATCTATCACTTGTCAGGGTGTCTGGAGTCAGGTTGCAGATCTCCAGTCTCGAGTAATGTCTCAAGAAGTCGTTGAACGCCATCCTGTGGGAGGCAATGCCACAGGCAACGTCCCCTTAGGATGCACAGGTTTTCTATACAACCACCTTGTTGCAATTTAGCACTAGGATTTGGGGTGAGTTTGCTCACTTGTCTTGTAGAATGATCTGGGAGAGGTTACTTTGTGTGGAAAAAGAGGAGAAGACATTCCCTTCAGCCTGAATGGGAACCCAGTGCTACTTACCAGAATTCCCCATCTTCATGCCTCCTGGTGAGCCGCTCCCGCACCTCAGGGTCAACACCATTCCAGTTCGGGCAGCTGAAAGACAACGCCACATCAGTTATAAGGTACAATAAAGGTTACAGCTCAAAGTAGCTTGTCTGGCACAACAATTTCAATTTCTTACAGCTCCATGTGATTGCAACGCTCCAGAATATCTGGTAATAGCAGCTCCAGGGCTCTCAAACCACAGCAGAATCAAAATGCAGAACCTAGGATATTTGATACCTCCCTTCTTAAATATCCAAGGTAATGATGAGAAATAGTTTTACTTGCAGAAAATGTTAGTGCCTTGCCTGTGATGGAGCTTTATTTAGGAAAAACAAAGACCCAGAACAAATACTGCCCAGCCACAGAAGTAAATAAACTCTGGCTTTCATTGCTAACAACAGAAATAAATTTTTAGTCATTTTAGACAGGAAGTTTTCAGTAGCTCACCACTGAAGTTGGGCCATTAGAGAAGCAGAAACTACAGAGAGGCTTGTAGGAACCTGCACTCTACATGAAGGCAAGAGTTTGTACGAAGGGCATGGCATGCTGTGATGCCCATGTGGGAGATGACAGTGGCAGGATGCTTCTTTAAAGAATAGCTCAGAGCAAACATGACATTCAGATGGGACTTAGAGAGGAATCTGAGGCGAGGAGAAGACAGGCACAGCAGAAATATAATGACACCCCTGCAGTCAAAGCCTACGGGCAATGCACAAGCCATCGACTCACTTGTCGTTCCACTTTCCCGTCCACTCCACTTCCCCCCAGGGATTTCGGATTCTGATCAGCTTCTGCACCGCTCCTCGGAAGTTCACCTGGTGGGATCAGAAGTGTATGGAAAGCTACTCAGGGACTTAGCATTGCACTCCCCTTTCACCTTTTCCTTGGGAATTAAAGGACATGACAGATTAAGTATGTCCATGCTACACTACCACTAAAGTGTATATACACAAACACACACTTATCTGGTTCAAAAGCCATGAAGTCAAACTCATTTTGAATGAGCTCTATGCACCCAGCCTTGTCCAGAGAAGGTTTGCTGCATGCACAAGTCAAAGCTCACAATAACCAAAATGTCAGCTTTGCTGCCACTAAAACAATCACCTCTGATAGGATTTCAAGCAAAGGGAATGTAAAGCTGCTACAGGACTACCCAAAAGCAGGTACAAGGGGATATTCTTCTGAAGTTGTCATTTATGTATAAACTGCCTTTTCACATTCAAATGCTTCCCTCCCCCCTTCCCTATAAATAAGATGAGCCTGTTGCAAGAGATGGGATACTCAGACTGGCCACAGCCCCTTTGACCACACGCACGGCCTGCAGTGCAGCAACATCAGCTCCTCCTCACACTGTACTGAGGTTCTGGTGCGTGTCGCTGCTGATCTCTGTGAACACCGAGGCCAGGCAAAGCAAAGCTGTACAAGTTTCCATGGGAACACCCAGGATTTATGGGGAGCACATGGAACTAATTTGAGGAAGGAGCTGGCACACCTCTAGAGCCTGAAGCCCAGAAAACTGCATGAAGCAACAGCAGCAGAGAGTCCAGAAATGATGTTTTGGTGCCCAAGATAAACTATCCTTATAAAGCTTGCACTTATCTCCAAAGGAAAAGCCTGGCTAAATCATGCCTGCTTGTGAATTAAGGTCAAACGCCCTCTTTGTTGCTTTTGCTGTGAGAGGGAGACCAAATTCAAGCACATAATCTTGCCCATTAACAGCGTCGACATCAGCAGCTCTCTGCAACTCACTCTGAAGTTTCAGAAATCATTTTAGAAACAATTATTGGCAAAGTAACTGGAAGTCCATTACGTATGTGGAAGAACACCACGATCTGCTTCCTTGGTTTTCACTTGTCTTACCTTTGCGAGTCACCTGCTCTTGGACAGGCACCTTGTGTTTGATCACCCTGCCCTGCTGAAAGACATTCTTCAGCAGGAACTGAAGGGACAATAATATTTTTCTTTTTGCTTGGCACACATCTCTCATACATCCTGCTGATTGTTTAAGGTACAGTGCTGTCTGCTATATAGAAATGTGAAGGACATGGTCACCAGCAGAGGGTAGTGTGTCCTCTGCACAGGGCTTCCCACCACCTTGCTCACTAGGAGATGGTACTTATGGAAAAAAAAGGTTTCTCTGGTCAAACCCTCATGAAGTCAAGTTTCAATTTAACCAAAACACTGCAATTAATTCAGTACTTGTTCAGAAAGAATGGACTCAAAATCTGATTTGGCAAAACAAGCAAGCCTGTAGAATCTGCAACGTTGAAGATGAATTTGTGGTTGCCACGACCCACGTGCAAAGCTCTCTGCGATTCACCCCTTTGGGGCAGCTCACCTACCTCCTCTGCCCCAGTGACCGAGTACGCGTGCCCCTTCACCAGCTTCTGGGAAGTGACTGCTTCCGTCTCTGCTGCGCTGGTGATCTGGAGGAGCAAAGAAGCTTCATGAGCGTGGCTTCCCACGTGGCACCACAGCAAAGGTCCCTCCGGGCTCGAAACCCTTGGTGTGGTACATCCCCTCTTGTGCACCTCCAAACGCTGTGCAAACGGGATACACACAATGAACTCTGTGGTCCTGGTCAAGGGACCAGGAGGAACACGGGGGGTGATTGGCCTGAGGCTGCTCAGGTGTCACCAGGGATCACACCAGGTCCAGAAAGCCCCAGTGCTTGGCTTTGAGGTCAAAACACAGCCACAGTGGGCTGGGAGGTGTCCCTTCCTTTCCTCAGGACTTGTCATGGTGGTGAGCAAGGCAAAAGGTTGCACTTTGGATGCCATTTGTACCTGATGTCATCTCATCCTCCTTCTTTTTCACGGCTATGACAATACTTAGGCAGCCTGGCCTATAAAAAACTGCAGAGAAAAGTCACTTCTTGCTAGAAAGTGACTGTTTGACATCTTGCTGGCATAATGCGTAATTAAAATTGCACACTGAAACTAACCAAGTACTTTTCCTGCTGCAAACCTTCCCTCTCCTGTGACTCAGATTTAACTTGAAAAATGGGAGGAAATATTTAAATTTATACTATGAATGGAGTTCTTGTAAACAATTTCCCTTCCCCTTAGACATAACTAAGATTTAATCTCATTTGGAGTAGGGTTATTGTCACAGTAACAATACTTAAGACTCATTTCAGTAAGGCTAAAAGCGATACTGAATCCTTGCAGGCAGGGCTAAAGTTCCTCTTTTCCATCTTATGCAGGTTCAGCTTTTGCCAACGTGTTTTCCTATGAAAGCTTTCAAAGGACTGGAAACAGTCTGAGCTTCCCCATTTCAAGAACGGAACCCAGATTTTCGGGGACATTTTCATACAATTTGTGCTACAAACAGGCTACGGCAGGGATGGAGGTTGCCGCCTCTGAGCAGCTGACTGCAGAAGCCATTAGCAGCAGCTTTCTGTCCAAACCCACTCAGCCTGTACCAACCTGCTGCCAAGCTACAGGCTTTCTTAAGAACAAAGATGTACACCAGGGCCCCTAACAAGTTCCTTGTACAATTCATCACCCTGAACCTACAAAACAGCAAAAGCTCTAGGTCTCAAGGAAGAGCCAATGGAGGCACCGACACATGAGTTAATGAAAGCTACATTTCAACCTAACACCTCAAGAGAGCATGTACCTGGGTCACGTTCTTGGGTCAAATTCTGCAGACATGGGGTAAAGCAGAGAACTGTAGGCAGAATGGACCAACATCCTTTGTGCACCTTCTGTGGATGGAGCACAGGTCCACCCCCCAGCTGCCCGCATGCAAAGCAGAGCTGAGTGTCCAGCAACAAGCCCACTGACTCACGTCAATGGAACAGCCAAGGAGAGAGCCTTTCTGAAGTGCCTTCTGGATGATTTTGAAGAGGTTAGGTGGTGCCTTCTGTAGCTCATACCATTCTGCAATTCCACCAGTGAAGTCCTCGAAGCCTTCAGTGGTGGTGCCACCAGAGAGAGATTCATAAGATCCATTAAGCCTGCATGAAGGGGAACACACACACAGCCATCAGGCTCCCTAATCGCCTCTGAGAGGGGCACCCAGTTGTGCCAACTGTCACAGCGTTTCTGCTTCCAACAGCACCCCAGCAGCTATGAACATGCCTCTCCATTCAGCTTGGCTTCTTAGACCTCTGTACTTGGAAAGCCCAGCATAAAATCTTACATGACCATACCTACAGCTTGCAGGCTCAGTCATATCAATGAAAAAAATGATGAGCACTGTTTGAAGAATAAATAATATTAAAAAATACAAGACCCCAAAATTTGCCTCTCTAGTTCCACACAGTCTTTCAACCCATTAAAAATTATGGGTTTAATTTTCAGCTTATCAATTTCTTAAGTCAGTTGAAAATAGCAATGTTAGAGCACAGAATTCCTCCCTGACTATCCCCAAACTGGAAATTCAGATTTGAACATCTTCTCCTTCAACAGAGACCTGGGTGTGTGGACTGGTGTGCTTGGCTCTCTGAAGCACTGCAGCTGCAAGCCCTCACTGGTGCACAGAACACATGAAATGGAGTGTCCCAGGCCCTGGTGACAGGACACAGCACTCTAGAAACAGCCTTGCCATGAGACTTGAGCCTCTTTTTCTTGGCTAGCAAGAAAGGGAATGCTTTTGGCTACTTGTCTTAAGCCCCTGTCAGCAAAGCTTCACTAAAGCAGACATTGTGGGATAGCCCAGAAGTTATAAAGGCTAGCAATTAGGCTGACATGTTAAATGCAGAGTATCCGTGCAGCTGAGGATGCTGTGGGGAAGCAGAGGCGCTGGGAGATCCGAATGGGGTGAGAGCCTGGCCTTGACTCACTTGGCGTAGGCCTTCTCCAGCAGCGCGCTCCAGAACTCGCTGCCCTCCGCGGAGTGCACGAAGAGCAGCTCCCCGTTCTTGGTGGGCAGCCTGTCGTCCACCACAACGTCCACCCACTCCCCGTACTGCCAGAACTGGAAAGGGAGCACAAACACCTTGTCACCACCCCACGCTGTGCACTCAGGTCACCGGGGTGTTGATCTGCTAACGCTGATATCCTAGAGGAAAAACAATCCCTCTCACAGCCAGCTTCACCCACCCTGTTCAGGGATGCATGTCCTCAGCTGGACCTGCTGATAGAGAAAGGACCACAAAGACAGTCCATGCTCTTTGGTAAGTAGTTTTCCTCCTTCCACCACCATCACCGTTCTTGGATGTCTTTGTTTTTCTGCCTGGCTCTTTAGTGTCCCCCAAAGCATCCCAGGAAACACCACACACGTAGACATAGCCAGCAACACTGGCTCCTGGACAACAGCACTGGGGTGAGGGAATGTTGTTTCCTACCTACCTGGAAGTGGAAAATTCCTGCATATTTATCCTGGAAACTCTGGTCTTTGGGAACAACACGGGCCAGAATTTCTTCATTCAGGGTGAGAGAAGCAATAGCAGCCAAGAGCCAACAGTCACCTGTCAAAATGAAAGAAAGAAAAGATAAAAATACGTTGTTCATTATTCAGATTTTATTCTTTAGTTTTTGTGCTGTATAGGGATTGTGAATTATAACCAACAATCAATCACCTCAGCTGTGATGAGATGATGGGATGTTCCCTCCCATCAATTCACCTCTGAGGCAGGTCAAATGTATGTACACAAATATTGGCCATTACCAGGCAAGTGCTGCATTTCCTCAAGACCTAAGAAATTAAAAAAAAAGTAAAAGCAGGCTTTTTATGATCTACCAACACAGTTATCACCCATGCCGAGACTCTTTGAAAGAAAACTTATTATTCAATTGAGTGTCTATGGGTTGGGAAGCAGGATGGGAAAAAGGCGAAGAGCAGGGCCTGTAGTTTTCCCAAGCATAAGCTGTTTTCCTTTCCCTCCTCCATGTTTAATAAACGCCTGTTGACTTGCCATCCAGAGACCCATCCTACTGATGAGCTCCCTTTAAGGTCTCTTGGCAGCCTCCTACCAAAATAGGAGCTCCTTTCACCTTACACATCTCTGGAAGCTCTTGCTGAACAGAGGCCTCTCTGTTCAGTCCCACACCTCGTCTCTGGCTCGAGTCAGACCAGAGTCAGGAAAGGTCTGAAGAAAGGCACTGTTCCCCAGCCCCACACACCTCTTTGCCTTTCCTGGGATGGAGCCAACATCCACCGAGGCTGCATGCCCAGGGCCCAGGCTGTCTGGATAGTATTTTTCCACACCATCTCCTACCAAGTGCAGGGAAGAGACCACAACTATATACATATTACCTATATTTTTTCTAATTATTTTCAGAAACCAGTGTTATTTTAACTGAGTGGCTACCCTTCTGCTCAGCTATGGGCCTCCTGCAGTCAATGAGCAAGAGATTTAAAGGCCCAGGTGATCCTCTCACTCACACAGCCCAACACAAAACTCCTTGTTACCATTGCCAGATCTGCTGTCACCTTCCTTTGTGAACACAGGAAAGTTGGTATGACACTTCAGACCCCACAAAATGGTTCTGCAGCATGTATAGGACTGCAAGTTCATGAAACATGAACCAGCCACAGGTGCTAGGAAATCAGAGGCCAGCAAAGAAGCAGTCTCTCTACAGCTAGCTCTCTCCTATAGGAAAAGAGTCAAAACCTCACAGGCGAGAAGTTTGGATACAAATGGGAGAAAAAGTCTCAAGAAGAGTTAACTCTAAAACAGCTCTTGAGGGCCACCCTCAGGCCCAAGTTCATGACCACTCAGAAAGCACTAGGAAGAACAGAGGCAACCTGCCAGTCCCTCCAGGCTGCCCTGAGCTTTCGCAGCTGATCCCCAGCAGCAGGTCTGTGAATGACATTTGTCTCATGGCCCTTTCCACATCTCGTGAAATGCTGAATATGTGAAATTGAATATGTAAATTCAAGACCTGAGATGCTTTTAACTATATCATAATCCAGATGAGAAGAACTGAGCATAAAACTTCCCCTTCAGCCCTGCCTCTGGCTGCTTGTACTGCAGTGGAGACATTGTCACGTCAGGGGCATTTTTCAAACAGGAAAGTCACCTCGTCATTCTCCTGTGACAAACTACGAAGCAAGGAGGATGTTCCCCTCCCTTCTCTGTGACAGTACGCCCAGCTCACTCTCCTTGCAGCCTCCTTCCTAGCATTGATACCCTCTCTCCTGGGAGCTGTGCACCCTCTGGTGCCATGGTGCATTCAGAGGCACTGCCAAGCACAGCAAAAGTTCTTGCTGGGAAAGAGATTTGGGTCAGAAGATACTACAAGACAGTTTTAGATGGGTTAATCTACAATTAGCAGTATGATCCTCTGTCCTCCAGCCATGTGAGGGCTTTAGCAGTTACCCTACACAGCAATTCTCCTTGCAAAGGAGGATGTTAAAGGGTTCTGCAAACAAACCTTTGGTCAAAAGACAACAACAGGACTTCAATGTCAATTCAGCTGAAATTAGTTTCATCTTACATCTGTGCTCTCCCACACAAAGTTATTTTTGTGGGTTTTTTCTTTGTTTCATTGGCTTCTTTTTTTTTTTTTTTTTTTAACCAAAGGAGTAATCAAACAAACCTGACAATAAAGTAATCACTTGGGAGAGACTGCACAGAGATCCCTCCTGTACTGAGAGTTCCTGTTTTTATTAAGTCTCCAAAACAAGCAGTTTCTGAAAAAGACCTGGAGTTCTTCAAGTCCAAGGGACAACTCCCTCCTAGAGAACAGCCTTAGCACTTTGACTGGGGCTCCTACAGGATCAGGCTGAGTTAATACTGTACTACCTCTGAATTAATAGCATATTGTCTCCACTCCTTCCTCTTTAACTTGTTTTTTCTCTACTGACACTCATCACACAGCAAGTCAACTCATTAACCCAGACAAACAAGTCTTTCTGTTGCCTTACTGAGCTAAAGGAGGTCACAGCTTGTGACAAGGCTCTTCTGGGTCAAGAGAGCAGTGGGTTGTTATAGATTCGGCAGTAGAAATATTGTACCTGGGAGACATTGTGGGAGAAGGGGCTGGATGTGCACTGGACCACCATATACCATAGGAGAGCACTCTGCATCAACACCCCAGCACTGCATATAGGCAGATAATCCTTGGCATTCCCCACAAACGCTGCTCTTCTAGCACCCAGGATCGACTGAGTGTTTAAGACTAACAAAATTCTAAAAGGAAAAGAGCAGGGATCTCCATTCTCCTTGCTGTGCCACCTCGTTCACACCTGGGAAAAGTTAGCAAGCCTTAGTGAGACTTTTAACTTCTAATAAACCACAGTCTCAAAGCATCCTGTATACTGGTAACAGGCATGAGACAAGCTACAAATATACAAATTGATAGGTTAACTGGTCTCATCTCAGCACAGAGGCCAAATAACTCATAATCTGCAGACAGGTGCCTGCCTGAGGAGCAGAACAAACCCCAGCACACATCCCACACTCTGGAAGGCTTTTACAGGTAGATAACCTGGAGGTGAAGTGAGTCTTTGGCATCTCAGACCCATTACAGTATGCTTACCTAGACTACTAGGATGCCTTCACTTGGTTAGGCAGATCCATGCTCTCATTCACACTAAACTAGATAAACCCAGAAAGAGAGCAACTTGACCTGCTCAGCACTACCGTGCTAGTCCTAAGGCACAGATGGGTCAAGACATACAGCTCCTGGCCTCTGCATCAAAGCTGCGGGCAGAGCTGAAGGAACTTTGTGCATGCTCTGTCAGGTGGGTGGAAACAGCCCAAGGCATGTCCTGTGCCCCTTGATCACAGTCAGCTATGGAGGTGTTTTTTCTCTCTGTTGCTCAACCTGCAGCAGCATAAACCAGAGTTGACATTCACAGCCTTACTCAACCAGGCAAACTCAATCCCCTGAGCATTTGACATTGGTCTTACTAACCTCAGAAAAACTGCTGATTTAAATTATTAGCAAGTTTGGCTCAGAGAGCAGCTGTCCCACCACTCTTCCAAAGAGATATTAATATTTCTATTCCATAAACAAAGCAGGGACTGGGCAGGCAGACAGCAGCACAGAAAGAATAAGTCAACAAACTGACATGACCACAGTAGCTCAGGAAGACTTGGTCAAGAAGCTGCTCAGGCATCTAGATTAAGAGCATACACCCTTTAATGCTATAATACATCTTCGAGTGAGATTTTCCCTATAGATAAGAAGCATTGAAGTTCAAGGAGGAGAAACTCCCCCTCTGCCCCAGAGAACCTCTAAGCCCATAAGCAGAGTTCATAAAGAATTTCCTTTACTTTCTAGCTGTCCCATTGAGGCAGACATAAAAAGAAAAAAAATAGCAGACTTTGTTGTGAAATCTCTCTGTTGAACTTTATACTGATTTCTAAGGAGAATCTGGAGTTTGACACACACAGATCTTAACTTTGGCAAGTCTGGTCAAGGTCTTCTTGAGTATGAAAGGTAGATACAATATATATGGGAGACACACCATCCTTTGGTTTCCACATTTAGAAGTGCTCAACAGTCAGGATATCATCCCTTGCTTTCTGAATGGTCATCACTAAAAGTAGATCTGATGATTCAAGGACTGGATGAGAACATATCTTGTGATAATACCTAGAGTTTTAGCCTGCACTAAGTAAGCCTGAGCAGGGTCTTTACCAAACAGTCCTAGCTATAAGAACTGTTACTTTTTTAAGGCTCTTGACAGTGGCTTTCCTTTGATAGAGAAGAAAAGTCCACAGGAAGGAAAATAGGCATGTTACTAACATGAGGAATTTAGAAGTGTCAGTAGGGCTACTTTAATCATGGAGATTTTTTTTGTAAATGCACAAGTCAGAACAAGGTTATCAGAAAAGGGAATATTATAAGGCTGTGAGTTGGCTTATATTAAGAAAAGGTACTATTTTTTTTCCTGACAGGATTTCTTTCTGCTTCTGTCAGTGTTTTACCTCTTATTTTTATACATCTATCTCTGCATTTACCTAAATCTCCAGCTATAGACAAGAATGTTACAAAGACTGTAATCGCAAGGCTCGCATAAATAGCCACACAGGCTTAAAACTGCCCATTCTGAAGAACAAAGACAAGGAAAGCATCCTCCTAAAGTGCCTGGAGGACTATAAGCAAAAGGCAGCTCCTCAGGTCAGGGCATAGCACGAGTGAAAGTATTCAGTCAAAGGAAAAGTGTACATTCTGCCAATCACACACATCATTTCTTTAAAACACCCATTGCTATACACTTACAACTACATCAATGGCTTATGTATAATGTACTTATATTAATACCACGGAAGTTTTCTGGGTAGAATCATGAGGCTATAGCCACCCACTTACAGTACAGTGGCTGCAATTGTGGGAAAACCATGCATCTAATTTTCTAAATTCACCCTACTCAATTCACTGCTTTTCCACAACATTTTTATTTAAGGAGGAACCACTCGTGTCTAAAGAGCAGATGAGAGATACTACACTGTGTACGCCCCAGTGTTGTGATACCATGGTGACACCCCCTCCAAAGAAGGCGGTTAAGGGTGAATAAGTTTCCTCTCTGCAGTGGCTTTGGTTCCTCCCCTCCTCTGTAATGAGTCACCACACCCCACATGTTTTGAGCCAAATACCATCACTGACTTCAGCTCTCATACTGCAAAGCTAACTCCAAATACTTGCCTTTAAAAGTTTTCCTAAAAAGCAATAAAAACAGAATAGAGGATAATCCAAAGCCTAAGGGGCAAAATTTTAGTGTCTGGAAAACCTAATCACCTGCTGCCTTGGTGAGGGGACAACCTTTTCTGTGCCTTTTATGCATCACAGTATTGTACAGTCCAGGATAAAAACAATGAAAAACTTCTAGGCTGCATGTGACCCACAGACCAAGATCTCCTGGGCTAAAAGGAACACTTGTACCACAGCCGAGCTCTTCAGTTACACACCCCCTGTAAATAAGCCTGTTGCAACAGTGACGGGTTTGTGTGCTTTGGACACCCCATCTGTGCCTGTGGTGCTCCAAGATGTTCTTAATAGCTTAGCAACAGCGACGAAACTCCACATAGGCACAGGTCTGCTCCTTTTCTATCAAGCCCTTTGGGGAATAAGCGGACTACAGAAGCTTCCCACAGAAAACAAAAAAGTAACAGAATAAAAACTACAGGTTTCCAGGAGCACCTGATGTCTTCTAGTGCAATCTTTGTGATATCCTAAAATGTGACAGGACATCAGCATCAGCACACAAAGCTCAAACAAATAAAAGCTTAAATAAAAGTATCAATACAAATGCTGATGCTGGATGAGGCAATTGCAAAAAATAAAAACATTATTTGTACAGCACATCTGCTACCCTCATTGTGTGAAAAAGTAGGGATTCAGTACAGGTTCTTAATAACTTAATGGCTATACAGAGAAAGGGTAAATAGGCTATAATTTTTAATCAACCACTAAACTGTCACACAGTACCAAAATCCTGCCCAGATTCATAAGAAGACAGTGGGGCGAGTCATCACAGTCCTTAGTCATGGTGAAAAAGGTAATATAAACCAGAACATTGACAACCTCCTCTTCAAATATTTTTTCAGAATATAAAATAGAATAAGCTGCAAGTCAGTTCATATCCTTTGGTGATACCATATAACCTCATAAGAATATCTGACTGGTCCAAAGACCATTAAGATAACAAATGCTTTCATCAATTTAAAACAAGTTTTGGCATTAGCAAAAACAACTCCACAACTTGAAAACTAAGTTACAAATCTTTCATTCCAGTGCTCTTTCTGCCACAACATCTGGATAGAAAAGTTGGAAGCCTTCAGAAGGCAGAAAGAAACTAAGTGCCTCCAGGAATGTGCATCTATGCTATCACCAGTGCCAGATGGTGAAATGGCATTACAATAAGCTGTGGTTTCATGTTGTACTACTCCTTCACAGCTCCTTAGCTGTGAAGTTTCATAATAAAAAAAAAAAAAAAAAAATAATAAAAAAAAAATCAGACAGATATCTGGCACGTGTTAAACACCAGGATGTGCTTTATGCCAAAGCAGTTGTGGTGGAAGATATGCTATTGGGCAGAGAAAGAACACACAGGGGAAGCTGGTGACATGCCAGTGACTTCACTGAGGATACAGTGGAGCCTAATCCATGCCACAGATGACACTGGAGTAGAAGGAGAACTAAACTCACAATCTAAGTATTTTTTATTGTCAGAGCTTTTTACACAAATTGCATCTAGTTGTTAAAGCACCAACCTGGTAACTTCAGAAAGAAAACATAAGCATAAAACATGAGAAATAAGCTTCCCTTTCTGTTACGTTTTTGGACAGGAAAACAAATATCAGGACTAGAAACTAGGAAGCTACAATGTGGCTAATATTATGCTGATGATATCCAAACAAACGGAACTTCATTCCTTTGTCAAATCTGCTGCAAAAACACAACACATGGCAGGCATTAGTCATATTTCCCTGCACTGAGGGCTTTCCCTCAGGCACACTATCAGTCTAGTCTAAAATCCTCTCCCTACAGTTACGGAATAAACAGGAGCCTTACTGCCACTTCAGCTTGTTTCCTCTTCTATGCCTACAGCTGCCCTCATCTCCAGCTTCCATGCTGCCTCCTGGGAGGAGAGGCATGGAGGATCTTGCCTAAAACCCCTTCTGGCAGGCAAGGCAGGAGAGAGCCTTCAAAACCAGGATGGCTGTGCATGCACAGCCAGGATAAGCCACCCACTCCCTGCGGTCCCCTGGGGCCTCCCTGAAGCTCCCAGTGCTCACCAGAGCAGCTGACCCAGGGGATGTCACTGCAGAGTGGCAGCCATAGGAAAAGTAGAGGGCTCACAGGCTGGCCCATCCTTCTGGAAACGCCCCAGACTTGTTTTCCTCAACAGCTGGCAAGCAGCTGAGAACCCCTCTGTATAATTTGTTTTCTCCACGTCCTTCCAGGTTTCAGGGGGCCCCTGCTGCTCAACACCACTGTCTCCCACTGGGGAAAGAAACACTCCACTACCCACTCAGGGCTCTTCTAAGCAGACTGTTATAGGCAGAAATTAGTCAAGCTACTCTCAGGCATGCGGATGTGGACGTGAAAGGAACTGATAGAGATCAGGAAACCAGTGTGTCATCCCTGCTCCACGCACACAGCAAGGCTGTGCTCAGCAGCCAAGCACTCGTCGTCCCTACCTGCAGCTGCCAGGGGAACGCAAGAAAGATCTGATTTGATGTGAAGAGAGGTGACAGGATGCAGAAGGATGTATTTTCAGAGTAAGTTCCAGTCTCATATAAATTGTGGTGGAGAAGCACCTCCACAGAAAACTTAGTTTTCTGGCTCCACCTTACCTAAGGCCCCTTGGCAGATGTCTGTGCGAGTGGCTCCACCAGCGATGAACTGAGGGCTGGAACACAGCTCCTGGGAACAAAATGAACCTTGCATTAGTAACATCTGCATGTAAGAGAGGGACCAAGACCCCAGCTTGCAGCAAATTTAAACAAGCAGTTGACCACAGCAGACAAACACCACGGAGGTGGAGCAGGTCAGGAGCAGACACAGTAAGAACAGTGAGAATGGGAGCTGGTGACCAAAGTTTGCGGGCAGCCATCTCACATCACAGGATGTGCCAGGAGGTCCACTGTGTTTTTACAGACGTGCACACCCTGCTCTGCTATCACCTGTCCAGCAGTGAGTACCTCAGGGCCTTCCAGAACCGCCTAGGCACCCCAGAGGCCATTAGACCCTGTGGCTCCCGTGGCCAGGCAGGGCTGCTCGGGTAGCCAGAGGCGCCCGTTGAGCGAGGGCTAGTGAAGGAAAGAAACCTCCACACCATGGTCAGCACATCCCTCTGCTATGGGAAAGAGCTCTCCAAAGCGACAGCCCTGAGCACTACCCAAAGCAAGTGGTTTGTGTGCAGGGAGAACTGAGGCCTGAGAGGCAAACAGCTTTTTAGCTGTCCGTTTTCCAGACGGAGCGTGTTACCCTCCCTGCCCGGGCACCCCGGGGCACCGAGCGGCCGCAGCCTCGCGTAACGGGAGCAGCGGGATGTCTGCAGACGGGGAGGCGGCGGGAGCGGCTTTCAGCCCGGGGCCGCCCG